TTGGTTCTTATAGATCTCCCTGCTTCTATCTTTGATCCTCTACCATCTGTTTTCCACACAGCAGCCAGAGTTTAAAATCCTAGACTCCTTGCTTAAAAGCCACCAATGGCTTCTGTTGTATTTTAAATAAAACCTAAACTCCTTGCCATAGCTTTCAGGACACTTCCTCATCTGTCCCTTCCTGATCTCACCTCCCACCACTTCCCAATTATGTTCCCATTTATGCTCCTGCATCTGCTCTTTTTTCTGTCTGGAATGCTTTCCCCAGAATGAACATGGCTCGTTCCTTCTCGTTATTCACATTAGCTCAAATTTCACTTCTCCCAAGAGCCTTCCTTTGCTACCCTATCTAAAGGTGCTAACTCCTATCCCACTTTACCCTAGTTATTCTCTAATAATAAAATAATTTTAAAAATACCCATTTTATCTGAAATAATCTTACATTATTTATTGTCTGAATTCTTGTACCAGAATGTAAACTGCATGAGAGTAGGGATTCTTGTGTTTCTTGCTATTTATTTTATTACTCAGAATAGTGTTTGGCAAATTATAAGTGCTCAGAAATGTTTATTAAATGAATGAAACTGGAGGATGAACCTGGGGAACATAATTTCTGTCAGTATTATTCAGGGAGAGGAGAAATGGAACAAGTTTGAATTAAATTGAAAGAAAATTGACAAGGAATACGTTGCTAAAACTACTGGAGGGGAATATTACTCTTTGATTTTTGTCAAGAAAGTAAGGAGCTCAGCCTACTACTGATTTTGTTCTCCTTTTCCCAAAGGTGTCTTTGAGATTTTTCTTGTAACTTCTCTGGTTGGAGGGGGCCTTCTTATTCTCATCCTCCTGACGGTGGCATATGGCATCAAAAAACCCAAGTGGGTTTGGAGACAACAATGCGGGCCCTCAAAATGAGGGGTGGAAAGGGAGTGGAAGGCACCATGGGTGGAAGAGGGTGCTCTGCTATTTAGGCATGTTCATTCAACTTTTTGTTTTTTTTACCTAGCTACTGAGTTTATCATGTGCCTTACACTGTGGCACATTAGAATTCTAACTGGAGCAGAGGACCTCCACCCCCACAGCCCCATGCCCCAGGCCTAGGACTTTTTGAAGCCAGGGAGGTGTCAGCTGCTTCACAGGCTTTATCTACTATGTTCTGCAATTGAGCCTAGAGCTGGGGAGAAGATCCTCTTTCTCAGTGTCTAGTGGGGACCACTGGCAGCAGCAAAGGGTCTCCAGGTGGCCAGCTTCTCTTCTAGGCAGAGTAGGAAGCAGGGTACCCATGGAGTTGGAGCTCTGGCCAGCGCATGCCCAGCATAGACTGGTCCTTGCTAATTACACAGTGTTGGAGGGCTGGCTGAAGGCCATTTGTCCTGCCTGCTCTGGCCACTGTAGGGAAAGAAGCCTGTCTTCAGGGTCTTGTCCTTTCTCTCCCCAGGGAGCCTCATTCTACCCTGAGGGTCATGGGCTCCCTCCCTGGTAGACCTCTCTCTCCAGAACTGCACAGTTGTGAGTCTTCTCTGCCAAGCTGCGCTTGTGTGTGCATGCATGCTAAGTCACTTCAGTCGTGTCTGACTCTTTGCAACCCTAGAGACCCTAACTAGGGACCATAGCCTTCCAGACTCCTCTGTCTGTGGAATTCTCCAGGCAAGAATACTGGAGTGGGTTGCCACGCCCACCTCCAGGGGATCTTCCCAGCCCAGGGATTGAACCCATGTCTCTAATGTCTCCTGCATTGGCAGGTGGGTTCTTTACCACTGACGCCACCTGGGAAGCCCAAGCTGTGCTTAGTTATGGTCAAACTAAGTCAACCTCAGTTCTCACGGATTGTAACTGACTCTTCAGCACAAATTCTTGTACATTTTGCATATCTAAAAGCTCCCAGGTGGTGACGATGCTGCTGGTTGGGAACCATACTTTGTGAATCACTGCTCTAAAATATGAGTATCTTATAAGTCTTAGAGTGTTACCTTTCCTGAGGAATAAATCTCAAACAAATGGCTCTGTGATAGTGTGATTCCCAGCACCAGGACCAGGGGGTGGAGATTCAGTGGCAGGAGAGTGGGAAAGAGTAGCTTTCTGGAGAAAGGTCTCCCTCCATTACGTCGCACAAATGACTTGCAGTTTCAACCCCCCTGCCTCCCCGCAAAGTACTTTGTTTTCTCAGTTTCCGTCAGGAGGCTGTGAGCTTGCCATTATTCAATAGGGAGCCGTACAATTCCCCATGTGTGTGTGCATGCTCAGTCGTGTCTGATTCTTTGTGACCCATGGACTGTAGCCCACCAGACTCCTCCGTCCATGGAAGTTTCCAGGCAAGAATGTTGGAGTGGGCTGCCATTTCCTTCTCCAGGGGATCTCCCCAACTTGAACCTGGGTCTTGCATCTCCTCCACTGGAAGGCGGGTGAGCATTCTTTTGGCTTGGCCATGCAGTACAAGTAAAATGCTTCTTGGACTTACTTCCTGTTTTAAAATCTTCTCTCTTATTAGCAAACTGAAGCACCTATGTTGGCCTGATGTTCCCAACCTTGCTGAAAGCGGTATAGCCATGTGGTGTGGGGATGATTTCAAGGTAAACACTCCTGTTTCTATTAAGGAGACTGTGAGCAGGCTGGTTATGGGAGGTGGACAGGATGATGCATGTGGGGAGCAGTCCTGGCCTGAGATTTACACAGGGTTCACATAAGGGGAACTCGAGGTTTAAACGTCCCAGGGAATGGCTGGCAGGACAAGTGGAATCAGCCTTCCTGGAACAACTTTGACCTCAATCTTTGGACAAGAGGAAAGGGCTTCAGCAGGCTCATAGAACTTGGTGTTTGCTGGGCATAGAACTGGTCCTATAAGGGATGCCACAGAAGAAAGACACTGGCCTTACCTTTAAGGACCCGACTGTCCAGTTAGAAAGCAGGAGAGCCCAGCTATAAGGTTGGAGGCCATTGAAACAGCAGCCAAGAACAAATTAATCCAGAGACCATCTGGGGACTGCTTATGTGCATTTCTGTCCGAAGGCTAGGGCAGGCTGCATCAAATTGTTTTTCTCAGATTGGAGAAGTTGGCAATGGGTATTCTCATGAGTTATTCATAATAGAAAGTTTCCTTTCACATACATTTTGAAAGTGAAAACTCTTCTGAAATTGTTAAGGTTTAATTTCCTGGTTAAGTAGAAATAAACCCAATCAAGTATAACCTTTAAATCCTTATTATTGAAGGACTATTTTCAGTATCCCTTGATGCAGGAAGTTTTAGTATCAGCCCTCATTTCAACTCAGGAGTCTTTTTTAACATGGGCATTAAAATTATTTTATTATTTATTTAATTAAATTCTTGTTATTTCTATTTTCTTCTCTCATCATTCATGTATTATCCTATTTAATTTCCTACTGATCAAAAGTTATTAACAGAGTAAATGAATTCATAGGAAGTATTGTTTGATGTCTAAAATGTTTTTTGAATTATCTGCAGTACCCACTTATTAATCACTCAATATATGCCAGGCATTGAACTAGGCTCTGGGAATGCAAAGATGTCAGACCCTGCCCCTGCCAGGAAGCTATCTTTGATTTTTCTGGTGATGTTGGGAAAGTCATTTGTCCTTATGACTGTGATTGTTCCATCTGTAAGAGTTTTAATTTTGATGCTTCCATTTCCACTGGAATGTTGTGAGCCCATGATTATATGAAAAATAGCTTTAGGCTGCCTAGAAGAACAAATTATTTGAATATAGTGTGTTCTTCTCAGGAAATGGGCCACTCTTGCCAAGGTCCCACGGAAGGGCACCACTTCTGGTCTCTGAGAGGGATGTGGCAGACTAGTGCAGAGGTGGGCTTTGGGTGTCCCAAGCCCAGTAGCTTTTGGCTACATCATGTGTGGCCCCCAAATGACCATTGGGGGCGTGTCTCTCTCACTTTCCCAAGGAAAGCTAAATCTGAAGAAGTTTGACAACTCTGTGATCAGAGAAGACAGGATTCTAAAACCATGTTCTTCACCCAATGGCCTTATTGACAAGTTGGTGATGAACTTTGAGAATTTTTTGGAAGTGGTTTCCGCTGAACATCCTGGGAAGGGTTGTGAAAATATCTTGAGAGGAGAAAAGAATGAGTACGTGACCTCCCCAAACAGGCCTTATTGTCCCACTGTTTCAACCGAGATTCCACCCAGAGAGTCCCAGTGCCTGTGTTCTGGGATGTTAGAGGAGACCTGCTCAGAAGCCAGAGAGCAGCTTCTCCCTCCCGCCCAAGGCTTTGGGCCAGACCATCTCTGTGAGGAAGGAGCATGAAACCTATACTTGAAAAATTGAGTTACAACCAGAGAATTTCTTGTGTCTGAAAAACTTGCAGAGCAAATCCAAAGAGAAGTCTAAGTGCTGCTGTGACTTGAATCCCCCTGCGTCTCAGTGTGGCTGACACAGAGAGGTAGGTGTGGCTCCAAGAGCTTTCTTGGCATCTTCCCATCCTGCTTGTGTTAGAGAAAGCCTTGCACACCCCCAAACTTGGTTGGTACAGATGTGGAATTCGCTTGAGAAGAAACATTGGTGATCAGTCAGAGAGCAGAGGAGGTTCAGGCAGTGCTAGGAGTCAAGGAGAGGAGGGTGGCCTGAGTGTGTACCAGGGGCTCCCCATCCCAGAACATAGGGGACCACACAAGGGCCTAATTCCTGCACCTTGTCAGCCCTGGAAATCTCGGACTGTGCTGACTGCACCCTCGGGAGCCACCCTACTTCGTCCTTCAGGTAGCCAGGGGACTGCCTGCCCCAGAGGCATGCCCCCGTGAGGTCTGAGAGCACACCTCAAGGGGAGACCTGTAAGTGGCCTGTGTCAGAACTCCCAGGGTGCATTGCTCAGCTGAGGCTCCTGACACCCACTTTCTCCCCCAGATGCAAAGTCCCCATCTTTTCCCCTGCCTCACTCCTGGCTCTGGTTTGATCCCAGGCATTGCACACGTGGTCAGGATGACTAAGCTGAGCACGCCTGAGGAAGACCTTCAGGACCCAGGCGAGGCCCAGGGCCCGGAGGAGGCGCAGCTGTTGGGGGCTGAGGCAGGGGAGGCTGCATCTGCCTCGGCCTCCTCCCCCCAAGTCTCCTGCTCCGCCCTTGCGGAGGCCTTGCTCCAGGAAGCTTTGAATGAGATGGTGGCTAACCTGATCAAGTTCCTGCTCTTCAAGTATCGAGCCAAGGAGCTGACTTCCCAGGCAGAAATGCTGAAGAAGGTCCTCAGGGATAACCAGGAGCACTTCTCAGTGGTCTTCAGCCAAGCCTCAGAGTGCCTAAGGCTGGTCTGTGGTGTGGAGGTGAAGGAGGTGGACCCCAGGGAGCACATCTACATCATGGTCCCCACCCTGGGCCTCACCTGCAATGCGATGCTGAGCAGTGGGCAGAGCATGCCCAAGGCCGGCCTCCTGGTGCTGGTCTTCAGCCTGATCATGCGTAATGGAGACTGCGCCCCTAAGGAGGAGTTCTGGGGAGCACTCAGCAAATGGGGATGTTTGTCAGGAGGGAGCACTGTGTCTTAGGGGAGCCAAGGGAGCTGCTGACCCAAGTGTGGGTGCAGGAGGGGTACCTGGAGTACCGGCAGGTGTCTGACAATGACCTGGCTCGCTTCAAGTTTCTGTGAGGTCCCCAGGCCTGTACGGAGACCAGCAAGTAGGAAGTCATGGAGTACCTGCTAAGAGTCCACCAGCTGTTTTCCAGGGCATTCCCACCCCCATCTGCAGAGGCTGTGAGGGAGGAGGAAGAGGAGCCTGACCCAGAGAAGCAGCCAAGCTGATCCTTCCCTCTGTGATTGAAGAGGGAGCAGTCAGCCTTCTCAGTAGTGATGGCCTGGGCCACTTGGGGGAACCCAGGGTGTAGCATCTTTGTGTTCCTTTTCTCTGTGATGACATGGAAATTCATCTCTCTTTTCTTTTTAAGGAATTTTTCAAATGTGTTTTTTCAGCTTAAGCCTTAATAAACTTCAGTATCTAACTTGTGAATGACATTGATCACACATGTATTTGTACATAACCAGTTAAAGGACCAGAGTTTGGCTGTTTTGTAAAAGAGATTGGAAACTCTTGCATTTTATTTTGTGACCCTGAGCAAGATCACATGGAATTGGAATTACAAATATTTTGGATATGTGAACTTACTTAGCAGGATATAGTTGGTGGAAGAATTGGAAAATAAAAAATGATTGTAGTGAATTCTTGCTTCTTATAGGTTCTGACTGTCCTTTTCTACAGCTAATGCACCACATCTGTTTACTTGGATTTTGCCAGGTTATTATTTAAGAAAGTAGGAGAAAATTGATGAGATTAATAAGCCCCCTTCTCACTGGTTCATTTATTCCACACAATTTCATGGAGCCTCTGCTCTGTGGAAGGCTCTGTGTTAGCAGTGGGGACACTAGGAGAAGCAGGACACCCCCACACCTAGAGCTATGGTCTAGGAGCCACAGTCACAGGAGGAAGGTAGAGAGACATACCATAGTCCCACAGAACAGGCAATATGGGGCACAGCGGTGGGGATCCAGGAGGCGCACTCGAGTGTTGGTGCCTGAGCCAGGGCTGTTTGAGGCTTTGGGAAGCTGGGCTCCTTCTGTGGGAGATGATGGTAATGAACCTGAGTGGTGTCAACAGCCAGACTGTAGACGGTGTCTTATGAGTGAGAGGAAAGTCTGGAATCAGGCATGCATGTTAGAAGTTCATCTTCTCTCCAATAAATCTCCTGCGTCTCAAAAACAAAGTGTACTTTGGTCAGAACAGATAGACACCTGTTTTTTCTGCCTGAGTCTAAATACACTTGAAAGTTTCCAAATGGGAAATGAGTGAATTTGGTTTGGCACACAGTCTACTCAGTCTCAGGGAGTATAGTTGAAGACATTTCAATTACCACCCTCAGTCTTCTGGTAAGATTTTAATGGGGTTCTTCTTTGAAACTGGCAATTGGACACTTCAACTGATGGGTCAGCTTTCCTAGGTGATCAGACCCCCAAAGCCATAGTGAAGGAGGAAACAGAACAGGCTCTATCTTGAAAGTAGGACTCCATCTTGGGCCGGACTGTGGACTTTGAGCTATAGGCCCAGTATCTATGGAGACGACATACCAACTGGAAAACCAGGACCCCGGAAGGAAGAGCCCCAGGGCTCTCCATCCCCTAAAAGAATACCTTAATTATCTGTGTAACCGAATAGAATCATACATTCTATTATGCCTACTGGGGTATGACCACAGGCTTATTGATAATTGTCCACTGTTAACTACCTAGGCTTAAGGCATATGATCATGGGTTAACTTTGTTTGGATCTTTCTTTTTCCTTTGTTCAGACTAGTTTCAGGGAAACTTATACACTTAGGGTATATAAGGTTTTCACAAAAACTGGTCGAGGTCCTTGGCTAAGAGGAGACTCTGTCTTGGGCCCACCGGTGTAATAAGCTGCACTCCACTATCTGCATTCTCCTTCTGAGGAAGTTTGTTTCTCGGAACGCGTGGCTACAACAATAAAAACTGCACTGAACTTGAATTCACACACCTCAGAATCCTCCTGGAGAAGGCGATGGCACCCCACTCCAGTACTCTTGCCTGGAAAATCCCATGGACAGAGGAGCCTGGTAGGCTGCAGTCCATGGGGTCGCAGAGAGTCAGATACTACTGAGCAGCTTCACTTTCACTTTACACTTTCATGCATTGGAGAAGGAAATGGCAACTCACTCCAGTGTTCTTGCCTGGAAAATCCCAGGGATGGGGGAGCCTGGTGGGCTGCTGTCTATGGGATTGCACAGAGTCGGACACAACTGAAGCGACTTAGCAGCAGCAGCAGCAGCAGAATGCTCCTTGAAGGTGAAGAGTGGTGCATTGTGCTTATCCTTGATGGATTTTGTAAAGAAAACTCCCACTGTCCTTTTTCTCCCACTGTCACTTGTCTGATACCTGCCTCTCATGAAGGTCATGGCTGTTGGGAAGCCTACGGGCACCTGTGCAGGTGCTCAGACAAGTTCTATCCTGTGGAGGCAGCTGAGTCTCCCAGGCTATACTCCCTGGCATTAGGAGGTAGGGCCACATATTCACTCTGCTGAGATTGTGGCCGGGCATCGCTGCAGAGGGTAGGGCAGAAAGAGAACTGGAGGGAGTGGGGGGGAGAGGGACCCCTTGGAAACTAAATCAGATCTTGCATTGGAAAGTGCCAGTAGAAAAAAAAAGAAAGAAAATGTCAGTAGAGAGTAGTGACTAGAAACAGTTGAAGATTCAAGGTATCTTTGGCTTCCTCAGAAACTCTTCAACACGTGAAGGGAACTGTCTTCATCACAAACTATACCTACCGGCTGCTGTCTGTTGAGCACCAGCACCGAGTACACTGCAGGTCAGGGGAGAGACTCCAGGTCCTTGTTCACATCTCTTCTCCATGTGCTTCCTGGAAGCTGCCTGCAGGGAACAGGGAATCCTTATGTAAACCTACAACAAGTTGGAAATAAATACATGATTAATTCACCGATTTTAATACAAAGAAAAAAAACGGTTCATCTAAATGACAATAGCATGTCGTTTAGGGAAAAAGTATCCCATGTGTCTTGATGCCTGGGGTGGGATGGAAAGGTATTTTGGATACAGGTGGTGCCACATCCATGAGCCTGAGCTCCCAAGAAGCAGGAAACGCTCCTGCCTGACAGATAGAAGATCTGTCCAGGTGCTGTCCATTCAGGGCCAAGGGTGAGGACCTGGGCTCTTCCCAGTGGCACAGTCAGAAGGTAGGTGTTTTAAGCAGAACTACTCTCTTCCTAGAGCCCTCCAGGACAGTTGTGATGTAGACAGGGTGGAAGAGGAAGGGGCATTTTGGATTCTGGGCACTGCAGATGGTATCCTGGGTGTGGTACAGCCAGAGAGACTGAGGAGGGTGGAGAGCCCTGGGAGCAAGGGGCAGGGATGCAGCCTAGGAGTCTGGAGCTGAGCTTCAAGCCAGAATCACATGAGGACCACACAGTCTTCTCCCTCTGCCCTCCTTCTTGGGTCCATCCTTCTCTCCCTTTCCCTTTGTCACACGGCAGGGCTGCAGGAGAAGAGGAGACATGTGGATGGGGAACTGGTGCCTGAACCTCTGCAGAGAGGAGCGCAAAGCACCAGGTGGGAACCATGGCTCATAGGTCAGTAGGACTGTTATGATATCTCCTGGGGGAACCATCTTCCTTTGGGAAGAGCATGTCCTGTCACCACCATTAATAGAGTGACCAGTAGCCACATGAGGCTGGGTATTATGAACTTAAATGTACTTAGTGTGTCCCAGGGCCTGGCCTTCTATCATAATATAATGCGAAGTCAAATGTAAATAGCTAGAAGTGGCTAACGGCTAGATAGCCCCGCTGAGGAACTGCAGAACCTACACGGGGGCCCAGAAGCACAACTTCCTCTGTGGGTCACTGGGAGTGGTGGTAGGTGGGGTCGCTCTTCCCTCTGGTTCCAAGGCCATGTGTCTTACTTAGTGGGGGAACTAATGATGATAGATGTGGAGTTTGTCCAGTCCCCGGAGGGTGAAACCCCAGCACCTCGGGCTCTCATATCCCAGTATGCACCTCACATGTGCTTCGTAGAAGCCATTCGGCTGCTCCAGGAGACCAGCAGCTCTGGAAGCTGTGGTCTCAGGACAATGAGGGCTTTGGTGTGAAGGTCCAGGCTTGGGTCAACTCAGAGACATCCTGTACCTTGCAGAGCTCAAGATGAGGACCCTGAGGAGGACACAAGGACCCCATGGATCCCACCCCTACTGTCATCCCTAGGCATCCCTTATGGCGGCATGAGCACTTGGCAGCATGTCCCTAACTTTGGCATCCCTGTCTCTGACAGGTTGGGGACCTGATATAAGGGGCGGGCCTTCAAAGGAGAAGGGGAGGATCTTAGGTTCTGAAGAAGTCTGGGTTAGGACCCTGAGGAAGGACTGAGGGCATCCTGGACCCCATCACAGAGTGGACTCAGGAAGCACATAGGGTGGAATGAGCACATGCCGCATTTCCTGACATCCGGGTCTCAGAGAGACTGGGGACCTGCTATAGGCGGCGGGGCCTCAGGTGTGCAGAGAGGAGAATTCCAGGTCCTGTGGGGTAACAAATTGAGGTCCCTGAGGGAGGACTAGGGGGTCCTTGACCTCAGAGAAAGCTGTCTCTGTTGTCGGTCCTTGGCGGCCGTGAAGTAGGATGAGAACAGGCATGGTCTGACTTCCTGACATCCGGGTCTCAGAGAGGGGTATAGGGGCGGGGCCTCAGTTGGGGAGAGGAGAGACTCTGAAGCCCTACTCGGAGACAAGGTAAGGCCCTGAGGGAGGACTGAGGGGACCCCCAGGGAGGACTGCTGGAGCCCCACAGATCCCCGCCCCTGTCATCAGCCCTGGGAGACCCTGGGGTGAGAAGAACACACTGCGTCTGGCCTGACTTTCTGACTTCCGGGTCTCAGCGAGACAGGGGACCTGGTGTGAGGAGCCAGGCCTCAAACTCGGGGAGGACAGAGCCCCAGTCCTACCGGGAGTCAGGTGAGGACCCCGAGGGAGGAGTGAGGGGAGCCGGACCCCAGAACAGAGGGGACCCTGGTAGTCCCCAGGCAGGACGACCTCGTGCTGCATTTCCTGACGTCAGGTCTCAGAGAGACGGGGGACCTGGTGAGAGCGGCGGGGCCTCAAAATGGAGGACGGGCCTGTTCCAGGTCCTGCCTGGAATCTAGGCTCCAGGCGGGGAAGGACTGAGGCAGTTAGACCCCAACACAGAGAGGGATCCTTGCCTTTGATGGGGGTCTTAGAGGTCCCAGAGCGGGTTGAACAGGATGAGCAGTTTGTCGACCTCTGGCTTAGGGGCCTCGGGAGATGAGGTGTTCAGGCGGAGGGTGGAGGCTTCAGATCCACAGAGGGTGGACTCCATGGACAGAGCCGAACCCACTCTTGTGGTCAGTGCTGGGAGTCTAGGCTGGACGTGAGGTGAGGACGAAGCATCTCCCCAGCCTAAGTAGGACCCACGGGAGGCCCTGGGCAGCTGTGACCACATGTGGGGCCCCTTAGTGCTTTCTCTTCAGACTCGGATCTTGTTCTGAGTTACTCTGCAGGCCCCCAAAGGGCAGGGTCCAGGCCGTGGCAGCGGAAAGGTGGGCACTACAAGGGAGCGACAAGAGGACCACTTCCCCCACAGCTTGTGGGGGGGAAACTCAGAGTTCAGGTCTGTGGAGAATCTACCCCCGAGGGGCCCCCTCCATTTTTCTCACAGGGGCTCCAGGAACCAGGAGGCAAAGGCAGAGGTCTGAGGCCTGTGTCCACGGGTCAGAGAACAGAGAAGGTCCAGGCAGTACCAGGAATCAAGGTGAGGAGGGTGCCCTGAATGAGCACGAGGGGTTCCCCACCCCAAAACAGAGGGAACCCCGCAAAGCCCGAATCCCCCCACTGTGTCAGCCCCAGAACCTCTGGCTGTGCTGGCTGCATGCAGGGGAGCCACTGCCCTCCTCCTGCGGGTAGCCATAGGTCAGACCACCCAGGAGGCGGGCCCCTGTGAGGCCGAGAGCACCTCTCAAGAGGAGACTTCTTAGTGGCCTTTGTCGACCACCCAGGGTGTACTTCTTAGCTGAGGCCCATGGTCCACAATGTCCCCTGCCTCCTATCTGTGGTTTGATCCCAGGCATCGTGCTCGTGGTCGAGATGAGTGAGCTGAGCAAGCCCAAGGAAGACCTTCAGGACCCAGGCGAGTCCCAGGGCCCAGAGGAGGCACAGCTCTTGGGGGCTGAGGGGGGGGAGGCTGCGCCCCCCTCGGCCTCCTCCCCCCCAGTTTCCTCGTCTGCCACTGAGGAGGCCTTGCCCCAGGAAGCTCTGAATAAAATGGTGGCTAACATGGTGAAGTTCCTGCTCCGCAAGTATCGAACCAAGGAGCCAACTTCCGATGCCGAATTGCTGAATGAAGTCCTCAGGGATAACCAGGAGCACTACCCGGTGGTTTTCCGCCAAGCGGTTGAGTGCGTTCTGCTGGTCTTTGGGGTGGATGTGAAGGAGGTAGACCGCAGGAAGCACATCTACATCATGGTTCCCACCCTGGGCCTCACCTGTGATGCAATGCAGAGAGGTGGGCAGGGCCTGCCCAAGGCCGGCCTCCTGGTGGTGGTCCTCAGCGTGATCCTCCAGAATAGGGATCGCGGCCCTGAGGAGGAGATCTGGGGAGCACTCAACAAGATGGGGGTGTATGTTGGGAGGGAGCACTCCATCTTTGGGGAGCCCAGGGAGCTACTGACCCAAGTGTGGGTGCGGGATGGATACCTGGAGTACCGGCAGGTGCCTGACAGCACCCCTGCTCGCTACGAGTTCCTGTGGGGTCCCCGGGCCTTTGCAGAGACCAGCAAGGAGAAATTCACGGAGTATCTGCTCAAGGTCAACCAAAGGGCTTTTAGGTCCTTCCCACTCCCTTCTGCAGAGGATGTGAGGGAGGAGGTAGGGGGACCCTGAGCCAGAGCAGCAGCCAGGCTGATCTGTCCCTCTGTGATTGAAGAGGGAGTAGTCAGCCTTCTCAGGAGTGATGGCCTGGACCACTTGGGGAACCAAGTGTAGCATTTTTAGGTTCCTGCTCTCTGCGATGACATGCAGATTGATCTCTGTTTTCTTTAGGAATTTTTCAAATATGTATTTCAGCTTAAGGCTTAATAAACTTCAGTATCTAACTTTGTGAATGACATTGATCACACATGTATTTGTGCTTACCCAGTTTAAGGACAAGAGTCTAGCTGTTTTTTAAAAGAGTTTGGGAACTCTCCCATTTATTTTGTGACCCTGACCATGGTAACATGAGAATGAATTATAACTGTTTTGGAAATGTGAACTTACTTAGCAGTAATGTACTTGGTGAAAGAATTAGAAAATAAAATGTGATTATAGCGAAGTCTTCTTCTTATACTTTTTATCTGTCATTTTATACTGTTAAGCTATCTCAGTTTATTTGATTTTTCCCGGTTATTATTTAAGAAAGTAGGAGAAAACTAATCTGACTAAATAAGGCCCTTCTCCCTGGTTCATTTATTCCACAGAACTTCACGGAGCCTGATTTCTGTGACAGGCCATGCTAACAGTGGGAAAAGCAGGGCACCCCCGCACCTGGAGTGATGATCTCAGAGCTGCAGTCACATGAGGAAGGTGGAGAGACATCCCCTAGTCCCACAGAACAAGGCAACACATGGAGGGACAGTGGGGTTCTAGGAGGAGCCCTCGAGTGTTGGTTCCTGAGCCAGGGCGGTTTGGGGCTTTGGGAAGCTGGGTTCCTTCTGTGGGAGGGGATCGTGATGAGACTGGGTGGTGGCAGCAACCAGACCCCTCGATGATGTCTTATGGGTGAGAAGAAAATTTGAAATAGGACATATACATTAGAAGTTCCTTTTCATTTGCAGATGAATCTCCTGGTTGCAAAAGATAAAGTGCACTTTGATCAGGATCAAGTAGACGCCTGGTTTTTCTGCCTGAGTGTAAATACACTCGAAAGGTTCCAAATGAGACATGAGTGAATTTGGGTTGGCACACAGTCTTCTCAGTCTCAGGGTTTATAGCTGAAGACATTTAGTTACAATGTTGCAGAAACCAGTACTCGGGAAACCAAGCATGACACTTGGAGAGTTGGAGAAAGGTTTATTACACCAGCGGGCCCAGAGGAGTTAACACTCCAAGCTCTGAGCCTCAAACAAAGGGATTTCAGAGTTTTTATAGATAGGCTGTAGTGGGCAACACTAGCTGTTAATAGGCTGGTTTAAACTAAGGGGTTTCTCATGGGTCAGAAGAGTGGTCAAGATGGGGAGGGGGATTCCTGACCTGGACAGGCATGATTAAGCAGGTTTGCAGGGGCTGGGTGATTGCAAAGAGCAGGACAAGGGTGAGTGAGATAAACTCCACTTCCTAGCATTGCAAGTCTTCACTTTCTGACGCTATGGGACCTATGTGATCTAGACTTTGCAAGGGGCAAGCTGAGTTACAGAGGCAGAAGGAGAAGGAGGTGCTGTAAAAATTTAACTTTTCCTCTTCATTCCCCCTTCTTGATGCTTCTATCCCTCGTTGTAGAAAGCATCATCTCATGTTTTTGGTAGGACATTCAGAGCTCCCCATCGTTTAGGGGGCTGTATTGAACTATTACCGTTTGTAACTTTGTGGATTCAATCCAAGAGGTTATGAACTGGGTAATAGCATTGAGAATACAAGGGCCAAACAAGAGTGCTGCAAAAAAGCATGAAGTGAGGACCTGTTAAAGGGAGAAGCCATGATGGTCAACTCCAGATATTGCTCCAATTACCCCAGGAATTAGCTAGTTTTTCTCTCCTTTTATGATTTGTTCCCTTAGCTGTTCGGCCATGTTCCTGACTATTTCTGACTGGTTTATATAAAAGTAGCATTCTTCATTCAAGAAGAGGCAGAGTCCTTCCTTTTCAGCTGTCAGTAGGTCTAGACCTCTCCTATTTTGCAAAACCACCCCAGCCAGGGCATCTAGTTGGTCAGGTAAGGCCACTAAAGATTTGGCCACTCTCTCAATGTCGTCTGTGAAGTCTTTGGATAGTGTATGGTAAATGATGTTTGGTGAAGCAATTCCTCCTATCCCCATACCTATCCCAGCCATGATTCCCAGACCTGCTATTAGGGGTATAAACTGGATGGCTCTTTTTGACCTTGTATGTGCTGCCAGAGGTTCGGTGAGAGTCTGGTTGTTAGGGCCAATATTCATCTGGGGAGTGAGGAAAGCTAAGGTGCAGATACCCATCTAATTGACAGGTAGACACAAGTAAGCATCTGTCCCACAAACAAAGAAAAGGCCTTGATGGGGGCAGCACCATCTGTTACAGCAAGGGACACCAAAAGGCTGCAAAGCAGCCTGCACATAACAGGTAACTGAAGATTAGCAAAAGGGTTTCTCCCCATCTTTGGGTTGTCATGGCTCTAGCAACTGAGCCTATCGTGAAGGGAGGTCAGTTATATTGTGGAGCAGTTTAGTTTGTAGGGAGAAACAATTGTAAGAGACTTCTAATAAGCATGAGGCTTCCCATTACAGTGAGATAACAGACAGTTAACTGCAGCTTCTGACCCAAACCCCAGTCCTGGGGTGTGACTGAAACTAGTCCTGTTGTGAAGAGCACAAAAATAATAGGAATCAGGGATAGAGTCCAGGCTTGACAATGAAAATCCATTGATATTTTGATAGCCAGATCCTCAAGCTTCTGTCGTGTGCTGACCAGCCAGCTGCTGAAGTGTGGCTGGAGCAAGGCTCAGCATTCTTCATGGGTGAGGGTCATTGTTTTTGGAAACAGACCTTGAGGATGTTTTTGGGGTCCTGAACTGCTTTCAAGGTGTCCTCATTATAGGAAGCTGCTGCCTTCTTGACTCTGGTGTGGTGGATCCAAGGGATGAAACCTATAACTTTAACAGTAGTAGGGGTTGCCAGGATGACCATGTGAGGGCCTGTCCAAACTGGCTAAAGTGGTTCCTTTTTCCAGTCTTTAACCCATACCTCATCTCCTGGCTGATAGGGATGAACCCAATTGCCCAGTGGAATGGGTGTCCTTTCTCAGATTTCTTGGGCGATATGACAGAAGAATTTCCCAGGGCCTATACCTCCAGGTCAGCTAGTTGGTGGTCTCCCTTGAGCTTTTTCATCACTGGGGGTGATCTCCTGTATAAGATTTCAAAGGGAGAATAGCCTGGGTCCTCGGGGTGCATTTACAGAGGGCGATGTGAGTCCACAGACTAAGGCAGCTTGTTCTAGCATTGTCTGGGCGTTGGCCGGGGGATAGTCTTGTCGTAGTTCTACTTGGAGAAACAAACTTAACAAGAAAGTTAAAGATATATGGCCCAAAGATTAATAGAAGTAGAAAAGCTGCCGAGGCACAACTAGGAGAACCAGGTCCAGACATTGGTCCGTGACATTAGTGTTTCTCTAGGTGTGAGAAGATGCAAGAATTTGGACTCATAAAAATCTTTACCTGAAAACATCTGGCTATCTGAAGGCCTGTTTCTGTGGGTTTTTCCCAGAGCTCAGAGTGCCTTATTTTTTGTCTCCACCCTTAACTCTTTTCAAGGGGGTGTTGAAGATCAGCATCTTGTAGTGGTCATGATTTAATCTTTGTAGAGGCAGCTGGCAAGGGCCAACTTCCAGTTGATAGTCATTTTTATTTGATGGGTTAAAGCCTTACCTGTGTACAGTGTTAATGCCTTCACAATGAGTTCTCCAAAAAAAAAAAAAAAGAAAAGAAAAAAGTCATGTTTCATTAAATATTAAGTTCCGGTTTTCTTAATTAAGGTCTGTGCTACTAAAACTCACTTCTGAGATTGTTCCTTCTTATGTTATATTGCTAAAAGGTTTAATTAAATTAT